TAGAACAATTTATATTTTTAATTTAATTAAAAAAAAACCTTACACGCGTGGAATCCGCGACATCATATGATGTCGTTCGGCCAGCTGCCCTAACTTTTAACGACATCATATGATGACGTTCGTCCGATAAAGGTTAATGACTGCTCATAAGTGTCTGAGCTCCAGACTCCTTGGCCCTGCCAGAATCCAGATATTTCCACATAAACACCATATTGCATGTCCCAGACAATGGAATACTATATTACAGATCACAATAAAGTTCCAGTAATATTGAAATATAAGATTTTGAATTTAATTAAAACCGAGAATCAATTGTAAATAAAAGTTCATGGTCATTTATAATCCAAATAAAAAAAGAAGGGCTAGGATTCATCAGTGTCAATTTGTATCAAAACAGACCTTAGCATTGCCTTATGTTCATTCCACCATGTAGTAATGCTCTGCTCCCACTCTTCTCGAGACATCTTATGTTGGTCCATGACTCTGGGAAAGAAAAACAGAAGACAAGAATTATACTGTGAATAATTAATTTATCACTGCATGAAATATTTTTATACGTGTTACCACATCACCATAAAATTCAAAACTGTTCTCAGTCAAGATCATAATGTCTTTTAATTCCTCAAAATTTCACGACGAACTTGCAGATATGTTACAACCCAAAGAACTATATGGCACCATTAAGTATTATACAGGGTGGGGCGCAGAAACTTGCTTTTTTTGAAGGCGAATAAAAGAAAAATTGCTGATAGACAAAATTTATGTTTAGCTAATGAAAGAACATACTTTAAAGTAAGTTTTAAATCATGTAGTTTTAAACAAAATGTCTTGAAGGTGGTGGCCACCGTTCTCTACGCACTGATGCAACCGTTTTCTGAAGTTCCCTTCTGCACGTTTCAACATGTGCACTGGAATTTGGGCTACTTCCTGCCGAATAACATTCTTCAGCTGAAGCAGGTTTGTGGGGCGATGTTTAAAAACCTCTGCCTTCAGGCATCCCCATAAAAAAAATCACAGGGCGTTAGATCAGGTGAGATCAGTGAGTTCCACGGGGAACTTTGCCCTCAAAACTGTCATCGAAGCTTGGGCTGTGTGGGCCGTGGCACCATCCTGTTGGCACCAGACATTTATAGATGCATTTCTTCAAGAGCTGGTTTGAAAAAGTTTTTAATCATGTCCACATACCGATTTGAATTGACAGTAACTACATAACTGTCTTCTTCAAAACAAATAAGGGCCAATAACTCCAACTCTCAACAACGCACACCATACTGTCACCTTATCACTGTGCAGTGGCCTCTCATGGAGCTCTCTGGGATTGTTACCACTCCAATAGCGCATATTCTGCTTATTGACATATCCGGATAAGTGAAAATGTGCCTCATCACTAAAGAAAACAAGTGAGTCAGGGGATAAAGTTTCCAATAACATTTCGCATGCCGTTATTCGGTTCTGGAAANATTTGAATTGACAGTAACTACATAACTGTCTTCTTCAAAACAAATAAGGGCCAATAACTCCAACTCTCAACAACGCACACCATACTGTCACCTTATCACTGTGCAGTGGCCTCTCATGGAGCTCTCTGGGATTGTTACCACTCCAATAGCGCATATTCTGCTTATTGACATATCCGGATAAGTGAAAATGTGCCTCATCACTAAAGAAAACAAGTGAGTCAGGGGATAAAGTTTCCAATAACATTTCGCATGCCGTTATTCGGTTCTGGAAATCATGTGGTGACAATTCTTGCACAACAACCATCTTATAGGGACTGAAATGAAGATATTTGTGAAGAATTCGGTGCATTGAACGATTGGATATGTCTAGGGCGACTGCATGTTTGCAAGCGGAGCATCTTGAAGATCTCAAAATCGACTGTCAAACTGCCTCCACATTTTCTGGCGTCGTAACGGTCTGTTGTCGTCCTGATGATTTTTTCACCACACTCCCAGTTGTCCTAAAGTTCTCTACCCACAAAACAATCGATTGCTTGTCAGGAACTGGACCTCTGGGCTTAATTCCTAAGTGAGTACGGAACGCACGCTGCACCGCCACGTAGGAATGGTTGTTCGAAAAATAGCCTTCGACAGCAAACATACACTGCTCACTCGTCCACCTCATGATTCCTACTGAGGGGTATTAGACAGAAACTTCCATGACTGCTGCGTTCGCCGAACCTATCCCCACTTTTCTGCGACCTCCCCTCCATTCACAATGTGTCTTCACAAAAAGTAAGTTTCTGCGCCTCACCCTGTACATGCTGCAATCTGACGTTTTTCATGAATTCTGTTCTGTAAACATAATGTTTATCATCTCAGCATTAAAAACAAAACTTGTATCAACCTGGATCTCTGCTCATTATAACCAAACACTTTGCATATATCATTCTTTCCTTAGTATTTCTGTTCAAAGCATGGGGCTTCTGTTATGTAAATCTGTCAGTTCTGTGACATGTGACAGTCTCTACCTGGAACATTATGTACAAAGTACTTCACAAAAACCCTCATGTTTGACTTGGTTAATCCTGGTCCATCACACTAGCAAGAGTATAAAAGATTATTAATGCCATCCAGTGTGATTGATAAATGTGCTTTTTAATCTTTAATCCTTTATAGGTTTTGGTTGTAAACCATCTTCAGAAGGTCTTTATAAATACATACAGAAATTAGAACAGTATAAGAACACAATGTGGCCCGAACAACGGGACGAAACTAAAGACAGGATTAAAAACAAAAAACTTACATTCAAAATCAGGCTTATAGAAATACTACATAATACCCATAATATATTTGCAGAGTCCTATTCTTCAAACAATGGAACCATAACATGGAATATATTCATCTTCCTTTAAGGACACGAACCAAATTGTTTCTAAGTTACACAAAACGTTTTTAAACAATACTTTGTAAACAGACTAATTATAATGATTTATAAATGTTTTAATAACTTCATGCATGTCACAGTAATTGTTACAGGATAATATTTTGAATATATGACATTGTAACAGCAGTTGGCTGCGCCATAGCTCAATCGGTTAGTTGCTGGCTTCCCACCGTGGCGGTCCGGGTTCGATCCCGGGTCTTGTCAAGTGGGATTTGATACGACATTGTAACAGCAGTTGGCTGCGCCATAGCTCAATCAGTTAGTTGCTGGCTTCCCACCGTGGCGGTCCGGGTTCGATCCCGGGTCTTGTCAAGTGGGATTTGTGGTGGACAACGTGGCGCTGGGGCAGGTTTTCCCTGAGTACTTCGATTTCCTTTGCCAATATTCATTCCACCAGATTCTCCATCATCATAATCACCCATGGCAGGTACATTACGCCAATCAGTGGCCGATGTGCCGAGTGGACCCAACAGGACTCCACCCCCCACTATGCGAATTGTAACAGTGGTTTCTGCAAGTAGGGATAATGACCAATGACACTAATAGTAGTTTCTATATGTACTGACAATGTCCTTCTGAAGATGGTCGCCACAACCGAAACATGTAAAGGATGAAAGATTAGGAAAACACAACATTTATCAATCACACTGGACGTTAATAATCTTTTATTATTAATCACACTGGACGTTAATAATCTTTTACATTCTCATGCTCTTAGCAATAAGTTGTGAAGTGCCAGCTATAAATTCCACTATTCTAAAATGCATATTCACCTCTGAGGTAATAAGCGATCATTTGCAAGGAACCCTGAATTGTGGGTTGCCTTCACATAATCTCCATGACGAGCTTGGACAGCGTACGAAGCCAAAAGTACAGATGTCTCAGGTGGGCAATATATCTCATCAGATAAAATGGAGTTCTTCACCTGAAAATAAACTTGGTGAGATCAGTCTTTTAATAACACTAGGTAATTTCAAACTGACCTTGAATTTATGTCAATTCAAGTTTAAGTTTCAACAGGATTGTGGACTACCATGAAGTTGACCCCACAAAGTAACCTCTTCAGAAGACAATGAGAATGGAAAAAATGTGAAGCCATCAGTCATTAGCTTAATATGAGTTAACTTCTTTGACCTTTGCCTACAAAATTAATAGATCATAGTTATTTTCTTCATATACTTAAAGCCAATTAACTTCTTATTAGAAATAATGCAAGCTTCTTTATTAGCCAACAGTTAAACTCGCAGCAGAACAAGAAAAAAGTTCTGCAAGAAAGATTTCTCCATGCTACCAAATGTATCGGTTCAAATATGTTCTCTTATAGATAAACTTACATAAAGCTTTGTTTCAAATATATCCAGAAAGTAGCACAGATGCATGAGTGTGCCGCAAAATGCAATTCTAACCCAATTCTCTATACCAGCAATAGTGAAGCACTGTCAGTGGTGCCAAATGTAATTACTTTCTGCATGCTCCAGCCCATAGTGAGAAGCACGGTTACTCTGAGCCACACACATTATGTAAGTTGAGTCAAGTAGTCTCTTTCCAGCCAAACATTAACAGTATGTCACAGACTCTCCAGTAGATTCCTCATGTTTTCATCTTCACTTACGATGCTATTAATTATTAATACTCTGCATAAACTTTACAGCCCAAAACAAAATAATAATTGGCTACTAGTTCATTTTGAAAAGAAAATTGTGTAAAGAGCTGTAGCTAGTCTAAACCAGACTGTCCAATTTCAAGCCAATGAAAGGCTGTTTGGGGGATGAAGGAATTTGATCAAGGGGCCACATGAAATCAACCTAGCTGTGCAGTGCTGGGTGGCCCTGTTCTAGGCGACATGCATTATGCAACATTTCTGTACTCATTTTCTTTTACTTTCTATTTTTAACAAGTTATCATTAACTTTACTACATGCATCTTGTTCCATCGCCAATATGTATGTAAAAAGTATGTATGAGCATTCCTTCAGATGTGACTAGTTTATTGTGGATGCATCAGTCTCTCACAGCACACACCACATAAACATAGACACATCTTACAGATACACACACACACTGCTCCTCACAACTGGTATGTATAAAGGAATCGCGATGTAACTGGCTTATAATTAACTAAAAAATATATCTCTGACTATAATTTCAAAGATATAAGATATTGTAAATATGTACAGTGTTTCAAATTAATGTTGCTGAAACCTCTGATGAAAGCCAAAACGAACTGAAACACTTGGGTAATTTGTGTATTCACAATAATCTGGTCACATCTGAAGGGTACGTACTTTTTATATTTCTTGGTTTGATTGATCCCTATACAAACTGAACAACAAAAGATAAATGGTGACAAAACTATGAACATTGAGTATGGTATGAAACAAGGCAGTTGTGACCAAGCATTATGTCTTGAAGGATGCTGAGAACATCAGAACCTTCCAAGATAGGTGGTCTCCAACCTGACATTTAAAGTGGAGATTTCTCAAATACGAAGCAGGACTCCTATCTCTACATTGTCATACTTTCCCAACAGAAGCAATCTTCCTGCTAGTCATTCCTACATGCGCTCTGCTCAGCCCTGTACATTAACCCCATTAACACCCACTGACATATCTATAGACAGATCACTTCCTATCCACAATCTTCTCTTCATGATGGATGAGCAGCCAAAAACTATTTACAGTTCTGGCTATAAAGAAAGCTGTAACATTTTATTTTTCCAGCACATGTAGCATGGTGATTATTCCAAAAGGCATTATATGTGCAGATAAAAATAGTATGGCATAATTTATATTGTGATCTTGGGGGTTATGACACTGTGAACAATAGTTAAGTGGATACCAATGTTCTGGAGGAACTTGCTGCTTTAATTTTTAGAGCAGAGCGTAAAGCTGGAATGTGTGTAGGAGGCTGGAGGCTGCAAGTTCCTAATTACCCATGGCATATGCTATGTCATAACCCATAAGGCCACCATTTAAATACTGCCATGATAACCTCAAAGCTCAGGACAACATAATAATTCTGATCTTTAAAGAAGGTGAACATGTGTTCTTTGCAGAACAAAACTAAAATTTCTGTGAATCAGTAGAAATGTAATTTTGCTCTTATATTATTCACGGTTAACTGGAAATCAGATTTTTTGGGGGGATATTCTCAAATACCACCTTACTCTGCCTACTGTCAACATGGAATGGAAAATTTTCCTGTTGCAGCTGGCAACGACGTTATCTTGAGATGGTGGCTACATGAAAAGCATCTGAATACACAGTGATGAACAGGCAAGGTAGTCCCTGAGTACAGGATTGCAGATGATTGTTGGGAAGAACTTTTAATACTTAGATTCACTTGGGTGCATCAAAACTGAAAGTTAAAGAGGAACTACCAGAAACTGAGGAACATTAAAGGGATTTCAACGTAGATTTGGTTGGAGTACAGGTACACAACATGGGTGCCAAGGAATCAAATTATTCACGAATTTTCTATGGAAATGAAATGATATTACTACTTAGAAATGGAGTCTTTCTTCAGCAGTTAAAAAGATAGTTGATATTAAAATGGGCTATGAAAAAGTTAAACAGTTCTGTCCAGTGTAACAGGTTAAGATTTTTTCTTATTTCAATTATTCATGCCCTTACATGTTAAAATATATACATACAATATAAATAATACTAGGTGGTTCAAATATGACTGGGACTGATTTTTTGTAAACAAGCTGCACTGCGCAGCAGCTGTGCGACCTTGAGAGAGTGAAGCCACAACCTCTACCTTCCCTCCTGTTAGGGTTAGAACCTGTTCAGTGCTGTCTGGAAGTTGCTAGAGTGATGAGTGAACAGAAGGTACCGCGGAGCGTGGAACAAGGCATTGTGATCAAATTCCTCATTGGAGAAAACGTCCCGTCCCCTGAAATTCACCAGACTCCAACAACAGTATGGGGAAGAGTGTCTCTCACGGACCCGTGTGTTTGAGTGGTGTAAGTGCTTCAGAGAGGGCAGAGAGTGCGTGGAGAATGAGCCGCATGATCGTCAGCTGCGGACATCTGTCACCGAGCCAAACATTGATCATGCAAACGCACTTATTCGTGAGAATAGGCGCATCACTATCAAGGAACTTGGAGCAATGCTATCCATCAGTGTTGGTAGTGTAGAAGACATCGCACTATCGCAAGGTGAATGCACGGTGGGTACCACACACTTTGACGGACGTGAACAAAATAGTGTGCATGCAAGTTGCCAGTCGTCTCCTACAGCAGTTTGAAGACGAAGGTGATGGATTTTTGAAGTCTATAGTGACCACCGATAAAACGTGGGTGCACTACTTCATTCCCGAGTCCCAGCAATCATCACGCGAGTGGCAGCATACCAGTTCTCCCAAACCCAAGAGCGCATGGAGGAGCCGTTCAACAGGAAAAGTGATGGCAACGTTCTTATGGGACTGGCAGGGGGTTATCCATGTAGACTTTCTGACAGATGCCAGAGCAGTCAATGTAGCTTATTACTCAGACCTCCAGGCAACAGACGTGAAGGAAAAGATCCAAGCCAAGCGGAAGAGAGGTGGAAAGCGTGTAGCCTTCCTTCAAGACAATGAATGCCCCCATACGGCCAAAACAACAATCGAAACCCTTCGGAAATTGAAATGGAACCTTCTGACACATCTGGCACCAAGTGATTTCCACCTGTTCGGAAGGCTCAAATCAGACTTGCAAGGCATGCGGTTTGTGGACAACGATGCTGTCATGCAGAATGTTCGGGAGTGGATACGCCGCCAACCACAAAACTTTTTTGAATAGGGCATCAGGATGCTTCCAGAACGATGGAAAAAATGTGTTGAGTCCAGAGAGGAGTACGTTGAAGACTGACATGTGCAAGTAAGTGTTTGACAATTTTGGTTAAAAAAAATCAGTCCCGGTCATATTTGAACCACCTTGTATATAAATTAGGTGTAAAATCTAAGGTCTTTACAACTACAGCGGTTGTTCCAATATATTAAAATATTTATAGTTAGTTAGATAAGATTCTATTTCAATTCATAAACCAAGCTGGTTCATGTCATCCCTCTTATTATTTTTTTTGGAACAGAATCTTATCAAACTAACTATAAATATTTTAATATACTGGAACAGCCGCTGTAGTTGTTTTAGTTGTTTTACACCCAACTGTATATTATTTATATTGTATGTATATATTTTAACTTTTAGAACATGTACTGTTAATAGTGGCTTCTAACTGCATTGATGTAAAGGTGTCCCTCTGAAGATGGTCTCTTTAGACCGAAAAATGTAAAAGCATGAATAATTTAAATAAGAAAAAAATCTTGACCAGTCACACTGGGTGGAACTGTTTAACATTTTCATAATACTGCTAGTGTGACGGACCAGAATGAAACAAATCAAATTCATTAAAATGGGTTTCCAGAAATATAGCATACAGGTTTGGAGCAGATCCAATGGACTCTGGATAAGGTCCAGTGACAGGCTCTTTTGAACATGGTAATGAACTTCATTTCATGCATCCTGTTGTGTTACAATATATAACTTCATTTTTTCCATCAAAACACAACAACTAAGGAGTAGCTGTTGTGGTAATGAACCTTCATGATCTATACAAAGTAGGAAATTTCTTCACCAACTAAGCAAGCGTCAGCTTCTTTTAAGAAAACTCTGCTCCACGCTGACAAATTCCTACAAACTTCCAGCAAAAGTGAAATGTTTCGTTCAACTACAGAGATTTGAGAAAATCAAATGCATACAATTCCAGCCTCAATGCATATGGGTTACAAACGCCAACCAACAACTTTTCAGTCCCAAATACAAAATTTCATAAAAATCCACAAAGTATAAGAAAAAAGCACATGGAATTCCTTCAAGTGTCTGAGCACTGGATAAGGAAACATATATGACCTAAAGTTATGCATTACTTTAATACTAAGGATCCCCTTTCCCTAAAGTACAAATTTCCTATTCCTTTCAAACAATACTAGATATTTATGTCCCACACTGCAAAGAGGCAGACTTCCAACAGCTTCTAGAGGACAAAAAGAACCACACAGGCTACCACATGGTGGTACACCACAGGATGCAGACCACAACCCGGAAAATCTCATCTTGGTTTCCTCCACACTTCCTTACCTACAGCTGCATTACTCTTGTACCACAATATGACAAACGGAACATGTATGACTTCAACTCTAGTTACCTGCAAGTAGAAAAGACGGAGAGTGATGTCTTGAATCAGCTCCTCTGCAACGTCTTCGGGATAGAATTTGGCACGGAACTTAAACTGAAGTGGGTTTTCTTTCTTTACATCTTGGCTCATCACCTGAAGCACAGAACATTATGAAACTAAATACAGATATTTTAACCAAAATATAAAACGTAACAAGGATATTTAGTAGAGTGCAGACTTTCACTATTATACATCACTGTGAAGTACAATCCACTTCCTGATAACCTCTTGCGCTTAGTGTTCAGGCAACAACAATTTATTAACCTTTCAAAATTATTCTCAAAGTTATAAAATTAAGTCTGTAAATTGTATGAATGTTTATGATATCTTTCTGTTTGCAGCTGATAGTCTACCATTAGATTAAGCATTTTCACATACAGTTACCCAGCTTCCAAGAGTGGCTGCATACCCCATAAAAGTGTAACTAAACATTTTTGTTTCTCCTTTAGTTTCAGCACCTTTAGTTTTCTTTACGAAACACCCACCTGAAGACGGAGACAGATCCAGTCTCCGAAACGCCGTGGTCTTGTCTTTTACATACCAGACGATGGATGAAGTCCAAAACAAGCCAAAAGAAGTACAGTACCAGACAATTTCAATATTTCACAAAATATCACAAAATCATGGTATGTCAGAGGATACCAGCATGCCATACGAAAACTAAGTAACATCAAGTCACGTTAATGTATGAAAGAGTGCAATTCTCTAAATCAAAGAAGAAAACATTTCACTTGCATTCAAACTCACTAAACCAGTTATGTCCCAATTCATACACGTATGCACAACACAACTTCATATGCAATAAGGTATGTTGGTAAAATCATAATTTCCGGCGTCCTTTGGCGTGTGTGTGTATTAAAGATAAGCAGCGACACACACACATACAGAGAGAGCCTACACAGAACAATACCTGTACAGCGATAAAACAAGAAGTGGCCGCTGCAGCACTATAGACATAGGGCGTGTACCCTGAGAAAATTTTAATTTAAAAATTTGGAAAAAGAAAAAGAACAGAAATTTTATAGACATTTTAACTTGAATTAAAGTTTTAAAAAAGTGCCAATTTTAGAAATCAAATTAACGCATGTAGGTTAACAAAGATTTTATACAATTAGAAAGACCGGTGATTTTAAATTTTAAACTACGGGCAGTGTAACAGCTATGTAACAATACACACCTGATGATGGCCATTTAGGGCCGAAACATGTAGTGTGGAGGAGGGAAAGAAGAAAGAACTACAATTAAATTGTTGCACTTAAGACGGTGTTTGTCTCATAGATGCAAAACAAGCTTATTAATCCTTAAAAACTAGGGTCTTAAATCTCAGATACAAGATCAGTCTTCTGAAATGTGATGCGTTGTAACCTTGTAGATTACATACCAACGTTCCAGAGAAGCTTACTGTCTCCATCTTCATGGTCTCTGCTAATCTTAAAATACAGGTAGCAGGTACCTACCAAGTTACATGGTGTTATATCAACATAAGACAATCTTCACACAACCAAGATGGCCCTCAAACCTCACTCTTATGAGAATAAATTAAAATCTATGTTACTGAAATACATAAGCTGTATCCATTTATAAATTAGAAGCCAAGCATCTGCTGCAGCAAGAATTAACCACGACCAGAGTTCAACACAATGCCATTCATTTGACAGCTTACGAACATTTAATCATCTGGTTTAAGTGTGTACAAATTTCCACTTTTCCAAAGTGGCTACATTAGAGTGTTTGAAGGTAAAAACCAAAGGGAAATGCAATGAAGGAATTCATATAAATTCAAAATGATATTCACACTCACAGGTTATCCTGAAATAGCATACAATAACCTGTTAAAAAATTCAAGCATAAAAATGTGGCTAACAGCATGAATTAACCCTCTAAGTCTAACATCAACATCAGCCTCCCATGTGATTTAAGGTCTGACAAACAATGTATTGATTCTGACGTACCTACATTTCAGGACCTCTGACCTCTGCCATACATGGATGAACCGCTGTAAATTACAGTGATCCCATTGCTCTGAAGGTCTCGGAGTTACTCAAAATGAGACACGTTCAAACAATTTTTTAATTTTGGGAACATAAAAAGTACACATCAAATCAGGAAAAATACTTGTATTTGTTTCTTGGTCAAAAATCACTTCACCAGTTGTGTCGTGTGGGAAGGTGAACTGCCATGCTGCAAAATCCTAACCGGTTTTAAAAGACATGTAATACCTCAAGCATCCCAAAAACTTACAGCAAATCCTTTGCTGACAGGAGGGATCGCAAATCATTTTTATATAATTAATAAACAAGCAGACTACCATGGTCTGAATCTTTGATTTTGATACTTTTAATTTTTTATATCTCTTGAGACCCTTGGCTTTCTGAGTGCAAAAAAGGTAAAGCTCTTTTTTACTTAACCAATTAAGCACTAGTATGAGTTTGATTATTGAGCCATAAAAACCGGCCCTTGCACCTTGACCTTCAATGATCTATTGTGCTTCCACTTTGCATGAACCCTTTATTAATAATATACTTCGAATGAAATGTAGTACTTTATTTATGGGGGCATTACTTGGTTCCATGAAGAACTGACCCAGGTGGCGAAATCTTAAGTAAGCTATAGCCTCACAATCACATAAGATGTGTGTGGCTGATTCATCTTCTTGTAGGCACCTTTCACAAGTTGGGTCATCTGTCAGTCCCAGCTTGAAAAGGTGCCCTTTTAAGTGGCAGTGTCCAGAAGTAACCTACCACCCATCTTAACTGATCTCTGTTTAATTTGAACAGGTCCCTAAGTCATAAAGGCATATGGTGGAGTGGATGTACATATTCACATTTTCTTGACCTTGGCACTAGCTGTAAGATGCAAGTCTCATCACTAGGCACTATGCCCTTCAAAAGATCAGGTCATTCTAAAGCTGTCTTAAAAAACATGATCAGTTTCCTCTTTTGACACATGAATAAAACACTTTGGCATTAAAGCATTTACAGCGACCGCAAAACAAGCTGAATCCCAACACTTGGCACAAAATTGCCACCTCATATAGTCAGATATTCAATACACACCAACTCATGGCTGCTACACAACATCAGTCCAGTTACTCGATTGTCAGACCCAATACCAACATACCTCAAAGTAGCCAAGTATAATGAGCAAACACGTGTCTACTTCAGAATAATTTCAGCACTTCAGTAATTCACCCACATTAATGTAACATATTCCACAAAAATGAACAAAATTGCAAGCATCAAAAGGAAAACAGTATTGAAGAATACTAAATCAACCATACAAATTGCATTGCATATCAGGACAGATGTGGCCACAAAGAAATGTAAGGACATGAATATCACATTTCATAAATGAGGTATGGACACGCAAGTCATGATAGAGCTAAAAAAACCTGACCTGGAATTCAATGGGAACTACTTTTCAGTTTATTCTTACTAGTCTTAAGTACGTCTCAATTTAGTAACATTGAAGTACCTGCTGTATTACTCTGTTTCATTTATTAAAAATATCTACAGAATTCATTCAAAGATTTCAAAGTAAAGTACTCAATCTAACACTGGGCATCTGCATCAGTATCACATAACACATCTGTTGTCCAAGAACAAAACCATGTAGGCTTCCATCTGGTGCCTTATCAAAGCATCATTTGACATCCTGCAGATGTCAGTGTGCCAATGGGGTAAAGGCCATATTTTAAAGACCTACTCTCAGGCAAATGATACAAGGTGCAGCATCTACAGGTAATCTGTACTGAAGAATACAGCACTAATGTACATTACATTGTAAACATCACACCAAGCATTTTTCCACTATTGCACATCCAGCCATAAATTAGAAGGCAAACAGGCTGAATTAATTACATCAGAGGTAGGCTAACCAACCTGTCTCTCTTGTGGTTTCATTTTAAACACTGTCAGTAGTATCTCAAGCCCATAGAATATCAAATGCTGGGATAACCGGTGATTGAGTTGGGACTTAGAAGGAATTGGCCATGGAATAATCAAGGTACTATCCCAGCACCTGCCTGGAGGGAGTGAGTAAAACTACGAAAATGCTTAGCTGGGACAGCTGACATCCTGGACGAGATTTGAAATGGGCACCTCTTGAATGATACCATTACAAAATCCTGCTCGAATGGGTAATCAAGCAAAGAAACATGCCAATCAGCTAAAGAAGCTTCAGGAATATTAGAATGAACACATAATATTCTACTGCAGTTCTTAATCACTGAAATACCAATATGACTGGCTCATGCATCACGTACAGTGTGAGAACCTACAGGCTGTAACTTCCTAACGTGGCATGCAGGCAAATTTCACGAATATTAATACCGCCAATGCAGAGAAGCGTAAAGTTGTGCCAACCTTCTCACTGTCACCCTTACACCCATTACATCAGAGAAATGAACTGTCCACAGATAAATTCATGAACCTGTTCTGAACTTCTGCCTAAATATGTAAATCAAAGATGCATGCAGCATGATTGAACGGATGAAAAACCAATATATATATTTTCTTTTTCAATTTAAAAACATGAAGGTAAGAGACCTACTTACTTACATGTACTTACTCATGGAGCTGAGCCCTTCTTGAGGAGCCGCCAATTCTGCAGCTACTCAAGAATTTCCCAGGATTTTATGGAACCCGAAGGTTCATCACCGTGTTCATAAGAGCCCTCCACTGGCCCCTATCCTGAGCCAGATCTATCCAATCCATATGATCCCATCCTATCTCTCTAAGATCCATTCTAACATTGCCCACCCACCTACGCCTTGGTCTTCCCTGTGGTCTCTTTCCTTCTGGCTTTCCCACCAATATCCTATACGCATTTCTCATCTCCCCCATTCGTGCTACATGGCCTGCCCACCTCATCCTCCTTGACTTGATCATTCTAATTATACTTGGAGAAGTGTACAAGTTATGAAGCTCCTCATTATGCAGTTTTCTCCAACCTCCTGTCACTTCATCTCTCTTCGGTCCAAATATTCTCAACACCCTGTTCTCAAACACCCGCAGTCTTATGTTCCTCCCTTAATGTCAGAGACCAAGTTTCACACACATACAGAACCACAGGCAAAATTATAGTTTTGTACA